ACACCTTGGCTTATGGCTGATAATTACTGAACTCAAATAGAAACTGAACTTGCTAAGTACTGGTCACAGCAGCTAGGGTTATTAACTTGTCCTTTGTTACTTCTGAAATATTTGGGAAAAACTTTTAAGGAAACTGATTATGCTATGGCTTATTGATAACTTATCACTGATTTTATTTACTGTTTTCTTAGCAAAACGTTGATAATCACTCAACGTCTTTTGCTTAAAAAAATCAAGGGCACATAGTATTTAAACCCCTTCTAACAAAAGAACCTGCCTTTCTATCATTCATAGGAAAATAAATGTAGATTTTAGTATGAATAATTACATAGGTAATCAAAAGTAAACAGATAAATCGGTAGGGGACAACAATTGGGAATATAAAGCTGGGGACACAGCAGGAATACCTCTTCACAGAATTTCTGGATCGTATTGACGAAGAGCCTGGACATCATGAAGTGGCTGATTCTGGTACTGATTTATCTCCACCTGTCAGAAGAAGTGGAGCGGTGTGTATTTCAATCAGTTGTGATAATCCTTAAGCTAAGACAAGGATGTATCAGGGTTAGCTAACTGAGGGCCTACATTGCCAAAGTTACATGGCAAAGTCATATTCTTACCTTTTTATGTCAAATTAAAGCTTAAGAGTTCAGGCTTTGTGAATGTATTTCTGCTGGCGCACACAGTGCCTTGCTTCAATAGCAACTAGCAAGTTCCGACATTAGCAATTTCTAGTAGCAATGTAGAGGTGAACAAAAAGGACATAAGGGACATGCAGAAAGGATGAGAAATGTATGCTTTCAGATGATCCTGAGGGTTTTTGTTCTGTTTTGTTTTGTATCCTGTGCAGAATCGTTCTGAAGAAAGGGAAATCCCTTCGGGAGATCCTGAAAGAAAAAGGGATGCTGGAGGAATTCATGAAGAAATACCATGTTGACCCTGGTCTGAAATACCGCCCCAACGAATTCCATGTTGTTTATGAATCAATGACCAGTTACATGAGTGTGAGTATTAAAATAACAAGAACATCTCTTTAAAGAACAAGGAACTGATCTTTGTCCAGTTTTCTGGTAATTCCTTTATTATTAGCCTGTTATCTGTCATTGAGTGAAATCCCATACCCTTCCCCCAGTTACCTGGGAATAAATCCTACTAAGCACAGAGTGATGTACTTATACAGGACTGCACTGTACTCCCACAAATCTGAACTCACTGAATCCAACTAAGTTACCTGGATGTATTTCTCATTAAATATATAGGATAGTATTGTAAGAATTTCCACTCTCTTAAGCAAGATTCCTGAAAGGAAAATCCAGTCAAATATTGCTTCATGCATTCAGTTTAGCAGTTCCCGTTACCAAAGGGAACAGCCATGATTTTTTTCCTTCACCAGTGGAAGTTATAAAACAGCAAACAAAGCTGCAGCTGAGCGCTCATGCTTTTTCTTGAATCCTACAATGGATATAATTACAGAAGAAATTAAGTCATTTTGATCCTTTTCTTTAAATGATCTTGGATAATTGCAATGGAATGCATTATAAAATTGAATTCTTCAAGACCTAATTCACCTTACCGAGTTTTGCAGGAGGGGAACAATGGACATTCAGGAAAGGGATGGGAAGAATAGAAAGGCACCATGAAATCTTTCATCTTACTGAAATGTTCTCATTGGCAGAATTTCTACATTGGAGAGATCAGTATTGGGACTCCACCACAGGATTTCCTGGTTGCAATGGATACCGGGTCTTCTAATCTCTGGGTACCATCAGTGTACTGTAACACTGCAGCCTGTGGTGAGTGCGTCTCTGGCCAATGGGGGTTTTTGTTATAGTGAGCTGATTCACTGATGTGTGTTTATTCAATCCAGTGAAGTATATCTGCCCTAACAGAGCGCTTGCAACAAGAATAAAAACAAAATCCCATATTGGTGCTGCTACGACTACTGCTTCTGCTGTCTTCTTCTTCCTCTTCCTCCTTCACAGTCGACTCTGGCCTTTTCCTCAATTCAATTTTTTTCACATTCTCCATCATGATGTTATGTCACAAAATAACAGAACTCATTTGACAGGTTATCGTTTTTCAACAGCAATAGCAATGCAGTTAAATGCAGCAAGTGGTGCTGTACTAATCTAGTGTTAAACCCCCATACAGCGTGCCCCAAACTCTCAACAAATCGCTACCGTCTATTTTGGGTCCCCATCATTGAGTTCTTATTAGATTTATGCAAATGACTGATGGCTTCTAATTCCTCAGGAAGACTTTTTGATTCTTCAAACTTCGAGTGTTATTCTAGTAAAAACTCAGTCCCTAAAATATATAATTCAGATAATGTGATGTAGGACTGCCTGAAACTGCATATGATATCATCGTAGTAATACCCAAGGGGTCCACAGAATCAAAAAGGCAGGTGGTCAAAACCCAGCTCTTTTTTAACGAGCATTGCATACACTGAATATTATGAAGGAAATCCTGTATGTCCAAGCAAGGGAAAATGTGGTGGCTAAATGTTAACCCTTCAAGGTAGTCCAGACAAGAAGCACAACTGTGAGTACTTACTCGATCTTTATTGTAAGGTTACATTAACGGAATCTTGCAAGACTGAAAGTATTTCTCCCCTCCTTTCCTTTTACTTTCTGGAAAAGTAGGTAGGGTCCCTTCTGAAATGCTTCCCATGCCTCCTCTCCTTCCGTGAGCTGAGAAATCTTTGACATGCCACTTGTCC